CCATGTCCAATGTCTGAAAACACCTTCTCCTAGGTTTTGTGCAGTTTTGGTGGTTTTGGGTGGGACGTAAGCAAAGTATTGTTACTCTAGGTTAGCAGCTCGATGATCTCACAGTAAGAGGCCCTGGTCCCTGGATCCAGAGCAGTTTCAGAGGAGTCAGGGGAGCAGGATCCAGGCTGGGGTCACACAAAGAAGTGTGCAGGGAGCCAGGTGCCAGTGCTCATGACTGTAATCCTAGCTACTTGTGAGGCTGAGAGCAGGAGGATCATGGTTTGAGGCCAGCCCAGGCAAATAGTTTGTGAGACCCTATCTCGAAAAAACTCATTACAAGAAAGGGCTGGTGGAGTGGCTCAAGGTGTAGGCCCTGAGTTCAAAACCCAGTACCACAAAAAAAAAAAAAGAAGGGTGCAGCGGTGAGGAAGTGGAGACATTGGGATGGCTGAGTATAGAAAGAAAGCTCTTTTGAGTCACTTGGCTGAAGCCCGTACTCAACAAATTCCCTACCATGACTCCCTTTTATTGGATTTTTAAAAAGAAGGAAATAAATTGGTGATATTTTGAGTTGCTCCCAACCATGCAGTAGCTGCATTACATACTCCATCAGTCATTTAGTCATTCATCAAACCTTTATTTGCCAGGCTCTGAGGCTGGAGACAAGTTAATACTTATTGTATTAACAGGATGTGCACTGTGCTTGGGACAAGAGGCTTAACAGTGACTAACACCAGCTAAGAGGCCCTGCCTTCATTTGCTCAGAAGTTCTGGTATGTGCATAACCCATCACCAGCCCCCAGGGAACATTTGGCAATGTGAGGACATGGTTTTGGTTCTTACAACTGCAGTGGGGTGGTCACTACCAACGTCACACATAGAACCGTACCAGCAACCAAAAGTCACCCAGCAGATGGGTAGAGACCTGACCAAGCTTAGGTTCTGGTAGAGAAGGCAGAGCAGAAATCTCTTTATTCTCTCTCAGCTCTGGCATTATGTCATCAGCAACAGAAAAAGGACCAAGTCATCTCACCCTGTCAGTCTGGAGCAGGATGGGGTTCAATGTATAAGGATTTTAGTAGAGAAAACCCCGGTGGAGAGAAAGTGGGGAGAGAACCAGGAAGTCTGGAGCTGCCTGACAGGGACAGGAGACCCCCAGGGGAGGAAGAGAGGCAAGGAAGTTGGTGGAAGAGGCCTTGTATGCTCTGCAGTCTAAGGAAGGGGTGTCAGGGTGTTGGGAGTCCTTAAGCCAGAGAAGTCTGTGTTTCTAGGAACGGGCCTGCCTCAGTGTCCCTGCCCGTGCTGTGGTCAGCCATTGCTGGAGCATCCTTAGTGCCTTGGTCAGTTCTGATCCTGACAGCTGGAGGTCAGTGAGGAACATTTCCATGACTCCACAGTCTGTGCAGGGTGACCACAGCAGTGATCTCTCTCTCTCGCTCTCTCTCTCTCTCACTCTCTCTCTCTCTCTCTCCCCTCTCTCCAGGTCTCCAGGGTCTCACTACGTAGCCCAGGCTAGCCTCAAACTTGCAGTCCTCCTGTCTCTGCCTCCCAAGTGCTGGGATTACACGTCCAGCCACAGTGATCTTTCTAAAATGCCATCTTGCCCTGCCATTCCTCTGTTCAAACCCCTTCCATGGCTCCCCACTGTCCTCGGGCTAAAATTCCAGCTTCTTAGCCCAGGCCTCAGGGCCCTGCTAGAGGAGGGCAATTTGCCCTGTGTGCGCTGTGCCCACTGTGTCAGTCAGCTTTCCCGGACTGTAATAAAGAAGAAAGAGAGACTGTGGCTCAGGTCCGGAAGCTCCTGTCCGTAATGGACTGGCTCTATTGCTTTAGGCCAGGGCCGAGCCAGCACATCGTGGTGGGAGCATGTGGCACAGTGAAGCTGCTCACCCCATTGCCAGGAAGTAAGAGAGAGAATGAGGAAGGGGCTGAGGTCCTACCATCTTCTTTGAGATCATGTCCCCAGTGACCTAAGGACCTCCCACTAGGCCCCAACCCCTAAAGGCTCCACCGCCTCTCAGTAGTGCCACCCCTGGGGACCAAACCTTTAACATGTGGGCCTTTGGGGCCCAGTTAACACCCGAACGACAGCCTGTGCCAGTCCTTAGGCCACCCCAACTGCACAGACTGACTGTTGGCAACTCCAAAGAGACCTGTGTACTTCTGTCCCTCCTTGCCTCTGCCAGCTGTGCCCTCGCCTGGACAGCCTCGCCCTACAGCTCATCACAGCCCTACAGCTCATCACAGCTCCAGTGTCTTGTGCTCCGTCCAGCTTTCCAGGCCATCAGCAGTGATCCCTGGCTCAGCTCAGGTCCTGGCCCAGATCCCAGAGCGGACAGAGGATCCCGGTCCACGTCAGGAGCCTGGGACAAACTGCTGCCACTCTCTAAGCTTCCGTCTTCAACTCCTAGCACAGTCGGCCTCAGATGGCCTCTCACTGCCATCCTCCCTCCACCCAGACTGCAGCAGAAGTTGATTGCACCATCCAGGATGATCACGGATAGAGGCCGGCCCCCTGCAGGCTTCCCTCTGCATCCCTCCCTGCCTTCGAGTTCAGGATCCCACGCTTTATTTTTAGGCTGGGGGAATCCACTGGCTCCTGAGATTAACCAGACCCCAGGCTGGCCTTGAGCTCTAGATGAACAGAGGAGTCAGGAGAGGGTCCAAGGTCAGCGCTGGCTGTGTCTCCAGGAGGCAGCACTAAGGCAGACAGCCCTCAGCTGAGCTCTGGAGTGTGGGTGGGGCAAGGACCCTACAACCCGACTCACCTGAGCCCTCCCTTTGACAACTGGGGCCAGAGGGCCCAGGTGATCAACAGCAGAGTTGGGATTGAGTTTGGGTCCCTTGTTAACCTGACTGCCAAAGGTTACCAAGTGGTCCACTCTGGCTGTCCCATTCTGTTCCCATCACCAGCTGAACTAGGAAGCCCCAGGGCACGGTCAGCCTGCGACTTGCAGGCCACTCCCAGTTGTGTTTGGCCACTAATAATTTGAGATGAAAAATATCACAGGACAATAAACATGAGGTAGAACTTACCATCTAAAGGGGCACAGCTGAGGGCACTGAGCAGTGTCACCCCATCCATCTCCAGGACTTTCCATCCTCCCAAACCCAAACCTTAGCCTCCACCCTCCCCTCCCCAGCCATTTTCTGTCTCTATGAACCTACATTTCTGCTCTTGAGAATAACGAGGCTATGAATATGGCTGTGCAATGCCTCTTGAGATCTTTTTTGCCTACATACCCAGAAGTAGAATTGCTTGATCAATGGTAACTCTATTTTTAATATTTTGAGGAAGCTCTATACTGTTTCCCACAGCAGATTGGAAACTTTAAAAAATTCATTGCCCACATTTTCTCACACTTTGGGTTTGGGATTTCTCTTGAAAAACTGGGGGTCCTACTGTTGCTAAGCCAGCTCCTCAGGCCTCAGGCTGGCAGTGCCCCCTCAGAGGCCTGGGTCCTGTAGGTCCCCTGCCATGTTCCTCTGTTCTAATAATTCAGGGCTGAGCAGAGAGCTGGGAGCTGAGTGCGAGGACAGAGCAGCCCTGCCCATGAAGGACTCATTCCCAGTCCAGATGCCCACCCAGAGTGACCTGAGTTAGTAACAGTGAAGGGGAGGGAGGACGTGGTGAGACCTTCATAAGGGTTCCTCTCCTCCCTCAGAGCTCGGTTTTGTTTCTGATGCTGACTTTCCCACGTCCTTGGTGCAGAAGCTGTGCTTCCCTTTGGAAGATGATGCTGAGTTGATGGCTTTGTTTTCAGTGCCCTCCCGTGGCACACTGAAGAGCTGGCAGCCCCTCGTTTAGAAACAACATTCCAGCTGGGAAATCCCAAAGTCTGGCAAACCCTGGGGCCTCCACCCCCTCAGGGCGTTCTTCCTGGGGTGCGGGACACAGGGTTGGGTCAAATCACAGCTCTGCCACTCACTGTGTACACTTGGGTGCGTTACCAAACCTTCTCGGGTCTGATTCACACATCTCAGGGCTGCTGTGAGAACTAAACCTAGTAACGTTCGTCATTGTACATACACCATGATGAGCACCCGAGAAAGTGTACCCCACGAGTCTGTGAGCTCAGGGAACACCCCCATTTTTCTGCAAGTTCAACAGCTCTCATTTCTCAATCTTTCTGTTTCATCTGTCTGTTTCTTCGATCTTTCCTTATATCCCCATTCTGTTCTCTTCTGGGCATTCTAGTTTGCCACTGTTGCCTTTGACAAGTAAATCTAGAATGGAGCACATGCTCCAGGCATGGCATGGCCAATGCAAAGCAGGACCTACTACCACCTCCTTCAATCCAGGCTCTATACTCCCATTAATGTAATCCAGATGTGCAGTGGATTTTGAATTGTGTTCCATCTCACTCCTTTGTTCTCTTTTGAGCTGAGACTATAAAAACCCTGTCTTTTTCACAAGAATGTTTGCAAAACCCTTTCTCTCATTCCAAACCTGTGCAACTGAAGTCCTGGACTTAAGGTGAGGGGCTCAAAACTTGTCTCCTTTCCTACTTTATCCAGTAGGCCAAGTGCCCACCCTAACCAGATGGGTGCCGAGGAGCACCCAAGAGTGTTCTTGTGCTCAAGAAACCTAAAGGATTATCTTTCTGGCTTTTTTCGGTGCAGGGAAGATAATGTTTATTTGAATCGCCCAGGGCAACCAGGCTGTCATTGGGTGATAGTCCCCAATGTCTTACCTGCAACAGGTTCACCTGGGGACCCAGCCTGGTGGCTCCCTGACTCAGGGCAGTGGGCCGGCTGCCTGTCCCAGGATAGCTATGCAGGATCTGAGATATGCATGGCCTTGGCCTGAGGATGGGAGAGAAACCAGGGGCAAAGAGATCCCAGCCTGCAGGGCCCAGGGGCTCTGCTGTCTCCCTAGAGCAGGTTCTGTGCAAGGCTGGGGCTCTGGCCCCCCTTGGCGCCCCCTCCTGGCAGATGGAACACAGGCCCATCTGCTGGATGACATCCAGCCCAGCTGGTGCCAATGTCAGGCCACATGGAAGGAAAGGAGCTCCGTTTATTGCACTGGCTTGGCCTCCCCGGTGCCGCCAGCATGCTGCTGTGTCCTCTGGGCTCAGGGGTGTGGTGGTGGTCAGACTGGGGCCTGGCTCGGCTGCCCACCTGGCAGTGACCTCAGTCTGTCTTCCTGGACCCTGGAAGGCAAAGCCAGCAGGATAGCTTGGGATTCCCGTTCCTAGCAGCCCAGGTGCCCAGACACCTCACAGGGCTGGTGTTAGGGGGCCATGCCTGAGGGCACTGTGGGTCCCCTATGGCCCACAGTCAGTGACGGATTTCCCTTCATTAATTAAACACACTAAAGGGACAGATATTTCCCCAGCACAGAACAGAGAGACTGTCACCTGCTGCTCTGCTCTGAGGCAGGGTACACAACAGGCGTGAGGTCCTGTGTGCGCACACACACAAGAGGATCTACTTTAGCTCAGCCCAGCCACTTCAGCTGTGACCCAGGCAAGTCGCTCCACCTCTGTGAGCTCATTAGACAAATGTCTGATCGATCAGTCAAGCCCCTCCCCATCAGGCAAATCATCCACGGTGGAGATAGTGCCAGGGAAGCACAGAGTTCTGTGAGAGAGCAAGTGGGTCTGAGGCCTTTGTATCCACTCCTCACGGGATTTCCACACCACCCTGTACAACAGGGACTGTTACCAATTTTCCAGTTGAGAAAACTAAGGTTGAAAGGCTATGGGAAGGCTGGGTACAGAGCGCTTGCCTAGCTTGAGTGAGGCCTGGGGCTCCATCCCCAGCACTGCTTCTGGCCATTCAGGGTCACAGAGCTGGTACATCAGCAGAGGTAGGACTGGAACCCAAGCCTTCCGCCTCCAGACTCTTTTCTAGATGCTAACCAAACCCTGCTAGGGAGAGAGGGAACGCAGAAGAACGTAGACATTACCCAGCATCCTGAGCTTCTGAAAGAGAGGGATGAAGCCCTGCAGCACACTGTGGATCCGGTACACTGCCCAGAAACAAGGGAAAGACCAGTCAGGTTGGGCCCCCTGGAGGAGCCAGGGTCAGGCCCACCCACCTGCCGCCCTTGGACAAAGTCCCAACCCATACAGACAAAGCTGTCACCATGCAATTTCAGGCTGAGCTTAGATAACAAGCCATTATTAAGAGAAACGACAGGCAGGGGCAGCAATAACAGAGGCAGGAAACCCAGCGACCTCAGCTGTGTTAACCCACTCATTTTCCGTATCTGGCTGGTTCTATGTGTTTGCCACTCTAAATTGTTTTTGTTGCATTTTTCTAGAGCTGCCCATTTTTTTCCATGAGTTTCTGCCAATGACCTCACATTAACCTTGAGAGTGGTCAGGAAGAAAACATGAGCATAAGGAAATTTCTCCTCAAAGTTTACATCATGAATTGGGCGTGGTGGCCAGTTTACGTGTGTACTTGGAGGCACTTGGGAGGCTGAGGCAGGGGGAGAGAGTTCAAGGCCAGCCTGGGAGACGTAGAGAGACCCTAACTCAAAACCAAAACCAAAAAAGGTTTAGACCATGGCTCTTCAGCACAGATGGCTGGTCCTGCTGCCACCCTCCAGGAAGACATGGGTATGTGTGGCTTTTTGGCAGTGGGGGGTGGGGGTGGGGATGCTTACCAAGCCCAAAATAGATGCCCACGGTCTCCAGGGAGGCGAAGGTGAGCAGGCCAACCCCAAGGGACATGAACCAGTCTGGGAGGGCAGTGAGAGAGAGAATGGTCAGTCTGCAGGCCGGGATGCCCTGTCCCCACACCTCCCCGTGCAACCCCTCCCCAGGGTCCTTACCTGCATAGTAGTGATAACACACCAGCAAGGCCCCGATGGCAAAGCAGAGGAGGACGAAGTGGAAGAACTCATCTGTACAGGCAGAGTAGGGAATTACTGTTCATTTCTTTTCTTTTTGGCAGTACTGGGGTTTGAACTCAGGGTCTTACACTCAGGTGCTCTACCACTTGAGCTACAAACCCAGGCCCCCTTTCATGATTTTTTTGAGGTGGTATCCCTCTATGTAGCCCAGGCTAGCCTGCCTCAGCCCCATGAGTGCTGGGATTACAGGCCTGTACCACCATGCCTCTCTCTCTCCCTCTCTCTCTCTCTCTCTCTCTCCTTCTCTCTTTTGTGGTACTGGGGCTTGAACTCAGGGCCTTCACCTTGAGCCACTCCACCAGCCCTTTTTTGTGATGGGTATTTTCAAGACAGGGTCTTGAAAACTATTTGCCTGGACTGGCTTTGAACCTCGATCCTCCTGATCTCTGCCTCCTGAGCAGCTAGGATTACAGGTGTGAGCCGGGTCAGGTTCTCTTATTTTTAAATGACAAAGTCTCTGCTCCAGGGTAACTATTCAGGGATACTGCTCTTACTCCTGACCAGCCAGACTAAGACAGCACCCCAAGACACCCTCATGCCCTTGATAATTTGTACAACCCCTACTGCCATGCAGCCTGTTTCTCTGTTGTTCTCTACCCCCACCCCCACATTCATCCCATGTCTGCTCTAAGGACACTCCAGCAGCTATAACAACACCCACACACAGAGGTGCTCAATTATTTGTTGAATGAATATTAAAAGCAATTGTGAAAAATGCAAATGCACCATGTTTAAACTTACAAAGGCAATAGAGATGTTGGGAGAGGCAGAGTCTGTGCCTCAGGCAAGAATTCAGAGTAGTCTGTACAAGAGGCTCCTGCACTTTGCTAGGCACTCTGGGGTCACCAGGGCCCCTGCTTTGTCAGGAGCCGCAACGAGGAAGACGCAAAAAAAGATTTCAAAAAGAAATAAAGGGGCCCAGCATGGGCCCCTTAATCCCAGCTAAGTGGAAGGCATAGGCCTGGGCTAGTCCCAGGCAGAAACTTGAGACCCTATCTGAAAAATAACTAAAATAACTAAAGGGGGGGTGTACTTGTGGGAGGGGGAGGGTGAAGGAAGGAGATTAAGGTGACAGTACATGGTAGATGGACTTCATATACCTATATCAAACAGAACTAAGAAACATCTTGCAATTGCTTTGGGTGGGGTGGGAGGGGTTGAGGGGACAGAGGATGGGGGCAATGTCACTAGTGTACAATATAAGACTAATAAGAATTGTCACTATGAACCCCCCCATATAATGAATATATCCTAATAAAAAATTTATTAAAAAAATTTTTTTTAAAGGGCTGGTGGAGTAGCTCAAGTGGTAGAGCATCTGCCTAGCAAGCATGAGGCTCTGAGTTCAAACCCCAGTGCCACCAAAAGGAAAAAGGGTTGGATGTGGCAGTGCATGCCTATAATCCCAGCACTCGGGAGTCCGAGGCAGGAGAATCACAAGGTCAGGGCCAGCCTGAGCTACATCGTGAGACCGTCTTAAAGGACCCAAATAAATAACTAGGGCTGGGGGTAGGGTGGGTCAGTGGTTAGGAGCTTGCCTAGCATGGACAAGGCCTTTTTTTTGCCCTGCAGAAGAAGAAAGCACACATGTATAAAGAGAACGAAAGCAAGCAACACACTGCAAGATCAAACAAAGGGCTGGAGGGGGAGAAAGAATGAAAATTCAGAAGCAAACCAAATGTCCTTCCATTGGGGAACAGTGAACAAAGCATAGTGTACCCACACTGTGGGATTTTTTCTTTCTTTCTTTCTTTTTTGGTGGTACTGGGGTTTGAACTCAGGGTCTCACGCCTGCTAGGCAGGTGCTCTTGCCTCACAGGAGCCACCCCACCAGCCCCACACTGGGATTTTAAGTCATAGTTTTGGCATTCTAAAAATTCAGAAGTCACCTTGGCCAGGCCAGTCCAGGAGAATTTGGAAGAGAGTTGGAGCTGAGCCTCAGCCGGGGCAGTAGGCTTGGGACAAGAGGTAACAGGGCAGGCGTATGTATGTGTCCGTGTACATCCTTGTGTGTACAAGGTGTCTGTGGGTGGGTGTGTCTCTGTGTGCGCATCTACACGCTGTGCTACTTGGAAGGACAGTGGTGAGAAGGTGAGGAGGGGAAGGCAGGGATCCGGTGTAGTGGGGCCAGTCAGTGGGGTGGGAGGGGCTGCAGGGAGCAGGAAAGGCTTGGAGGCTGGACAAAGCCAGAATCACTCAGAGGTGATGTCTGAGCCAGGAAGGCTCAGATTTCCATCATTCACACTCCACCTTTATGATTTTTGCCATCTGTGCATAGCACTGCTTACCATCTTCACACCATCTGCGCTAATAGTCACTTAACATTTTCTTTAGATAAATTGATTTTTCCTTAAATAACTTTAAGAAGAAACTTTATAACAGCAAGTGGAAAACTAGGCTCCCCCATGTTCAAAGTCAACATGAGTCAAAGCAAGTGAGACCTGCTGGCTGCCGCCTGTGGGCTCTGGGGTAGAAGGGCAACAAGCAATGTCAGGGCCACATCAGAGGCAGGGGCTGTAAATCCAGAACCCCCAGCTCCAAGAAAGAGCGAAAGGGAAATGGGTTTCTCCCTTTGGGCTATAATCACGTCCTGAAGCAATTCAGACGCAGCCTGCATGTTGGGGATCTCTGTTTTTATCCGGTTTTCAGGGGATAGCCTGGAAAGTTAAACAGTGCGCCCTGATTCATCTGCCCAGACAGAGGCAGAGACGTGGGCTTCGGCCCAGGTCTCCCACTCCCTAAAAAAAGGTGGGGCTTTTGTATAACTCAAGGTGTGTCTAGAACAACTGATATTTGTTTCATCAAAAACTATGGTCTCCTTTGAGCACATGATAAAAGCGAGAGCACACAGGGGAGGGGTGAGGATAGGTAAGACAACTAAAAAACTAGCTAGCATTTGTTGCCCTTAACGCAGAGAAGCTAAAGCAGATACCTTAAAAGCAACTGAGGCCAATAGGAAAAGGGGACCAGGAACTAGAGAAAAGGTTAGAAACAAATAAACAAACAAAACAGCAACAAAAAAAACCTATGGTCTCAAAAAAATGAACAAAAAACAAAGCAACAACAAAACCATAGTGTCTCCTGCCCGCACTTCTTCCTGGAAGTCCCTGTGCTCTCATTCCTCCTTCCCGGAGTCCAGTCTAATGTAATCTCAAGAATTCTGCAGCCCAGCCCACTTCTGGCTCCCTATCCTGACAGCAAGTCCTGGGAGGCATTGATTGTCCTGTGATTTCAAGTGTAGCAGAAAGAGCACAGGACTGGGTTCAACCTAGGACTGTGGGACTCACTGGCTGCAAGTTCGTCCTCTAACCCTGTGCCTCAGTTTCCACATCTGAAAAAACAGACACCATTGTCCCAGCATAGAGGTGATGCAGCACTGAGGAGTTTGCAGACTGGAGGGCGCACAATGGAGAGGGCCAGGATTGTGCCAGGCCACCAGCTGCCTTGCATCCACAGAAACCTGGACCAGACAGGGGCATGGCTCCGGAACACTGACTTCCTTACCATCCTTCTTTATGTTCAGTCTTCTTAACTGAGAGGCCTCGGCTTCTCCTTGGAACAAGAGTAGCGCAGTGTTAACTCTGACAAGGGTGGCAGATGGGATTTTCCCTCTCCCGTCTCACTGAGAATTGGCCTATGGATGCTGGTTTGCAGGCTAGACGGTGCCCACTGCAGGGGTGCTCAAGCAGACCGTGAAGGCAGGGTGGCTGTCCTTGGGAACCCCACTGACTCCCTCCTCCTTCCAGTTCCCCTGTGCTGCAGGTTCCTTTCCTGAATCATGGTGACATTCTGGCTGGTGATGACTGGCCCACCCTCTCAGGCCGTCCTTGGTCTCTTCCTGCCCCCTGGAACCCGGGCGCCTCTGTTCTCCTCTGAGCTTGAGTATTTACCACTTGCTGAGACCGAGCCTCTCTTTCCAAGTCCTGGAAATGAGAAGCTCAGCGTCAGTGCCCAGTCCAGCCTGGGTCCTTAATAGGTGCCCCCACCCAGGGAACCATATGTGACTTGAGAAAATTCCTTTGCCGAATCCTCCAAGGGATCTTCCTATCCAGGGGGTTCCCTGGAATCCCCGTGCTTCCTGCCTGGCCCCCACTCTAATCTCCCGTCTCATAGGGACAATCCCTGCCCAGGTCCCCAAATATCCTTGGCATTCCCGTCTCTCACAACCACGCACCCCAACACTAGCGGTCTTGGAGCAGAAGGGTGAGGCCTATACATCACTCACTACCAACACGGATGACCTCTCCCCTACCTGTCCCTCACCTGATTCTCCAGAGAGCACCATTTCTCCTGCAGCATCTGCATGGGAGAAAAAATCAGGGATCACACATCATGATGCTCGGTGGGGAGACATTTCGGGGTGGAAGGTGGGTCCTGCTCAGAGGTTTTGCACCAGATCTGGTGTGGGCCAGGTGGGGACAGGAGCAGGCTGGAGGGTTCCTGCTCCATCTACAGGACAGCCACCACCCACCAGCCACGGAAAGCTGTTGCTGGGAGGTCTGCCCAGTCGTACAGGTCAGATTTTTCCATAAACTTCTGACATTTTTTTTTAAAGGGCTGCAACCCTGTAGTCATGCCACTGTGTCCATGGGGAAACCAAGCTAGGACCCCTGTGGATACCAACACCTGCAGGTGCTAACGCTCCCTATGTAGTAAAATGGTGTAGTGTTTGCACAGGACCTGTGCGATCCTCCTGTAGACTTTAATCTCCAGATGACTTTTAACGTGTAATGCAGTGTCAAGGCTATGTAAATAGTTGTTTTATTGTACTTGTCAGGGAATAATGTCTCAAAAACATCATACATGTTCAGGATAGACCACTTTTTATTTTTATTTTTATTTTTATTGTTTTGGGGGGCAGCACTGGGGTTTGAACTCAGAGACTCACACTTGCTAGGCAGGTGCTCTACCTCACAAGCCACTCCACCAGCCCAAGGACAGACTACTTTAAGAAAAAAAAAACATTTTTGATCCCGGACTGGTTGAATCCCTGATATAGAGCCCAGGGAAACCAAAGGCCTTCTGTATTCTTTTTTGTTGTTGTTTTTGCAGAACTGGGGTTTGAACTCGGGACCTCATGCTTGCTATGCAGGTGCTCTACTGCTTGAGCCTCCAGCCTTTATTTGAGACAGGGTTTCACTAAGTAGCCCGGGCTGGCCTTGAACTTGTGACACCTACCATGACCCCCCAGACAAAAGGCCCTGCCTTGGCCTGCCCTGTGTTGACGTCGCAGGCATGCGTCACCAATGCCTCATGCAGGCCTGCTACATTCTAGGCATGCCATCATTTGTGAGGCAGGACCTTGTCCTGTCTCACAGACATGCATGTCTACAGAAGGAACCCTGCCAAACGTGACTGCGAGGTGCCAATGGTTTCAAAGAAATCAGGAGGTGAGGCTCAGGTGGTGGAATACTCGCCTCGCAGGCTCCATGTCCTAAGTTCAAACCCCAGTCCCGCCAGAGAGAGACAGAGAGAGAGAGAGAGAGAGAGAGGGAGGGAGGGAAGGAAGGGAAAGAGAAGAGGAGAGGAGAGGAGAGGAGAGAAGAGAAATCAGGATTTGAAAAATTAGTTGTAGAATTGATGAAACATTAATAATAATAATTTGTGTGTGGGGTTGGAACCCAGTACCTCAACATGCTTGGCAAGGGGTCCACAACTGAGCTACACCCCCAGACCTACAATAGTAATAGTAATAATAATAATAATAATAATAATAAAAACCCCAAACAAAAGCAACCAGCCTGTGAAGCAGACACAACACTTCTGCAACCTGTGCCTGTGTAAGCCGTCCACATGCGGGAGAGGCACAGGCCCTGAACACATGGGAGCCAAGCTGGGCCGTGTACTGCTGAGTGATGGCTTAAGAAGGGTTGAGCCCTGTGTACCTGTCCTGAGCTGCAGCCTTGCCTCTCATCCCATCCTGGGTGGCTTCCCTTCACCAACTGGTGCCTATTCTAGTTCTCTAGTGACCTCTCTCCTAGCCTGTCACCTTCCTCCCCTCAAGGGCAGCAGGATCCTGTGTGACCTCCCTTCCTCACCAGCCCAAGTCCTGTGCACTTCCTGTCTGTCCTTCAGGGCAGCCTCAGGATGCAAAACCACAAGGGGGCACTCAGCCAGTAGCCATGACACTCAGCACACTGTACTGTCCCTGTCCTTAGGGCAAACATACAATAAGGAACACCACCCACAATGTGACCAAAGGGTGGCCAGTACTGAGAGTGCAGGGCACATGCCCTGGACAATATGAAATACAACCCAAACAGTGCAGTTGCTTAAGCACCTTGGCTGTCTTGTGGGGGACAAAAATGAATAGGTGACTGTCCACATCTATAGTGAATAATAAGTTACTTTTATGGGGCTGGAGGAGTGAGTGGCTCAAGCAGTGGAGTGCCTGCCTAGCAAGTGCAACACCCTGAATTCAAACCCCAGTCCCACCAAAACACAAACAAACAAAAGAGCTGCTCTACGAGTTACTTCTATGATGAGGAAAAATATTCTTAAGTATATGTAAACATAAGTTTTTTCTTATTTACCCAGGGAAACCTTTCTTAAATGATCTGAGATATGAAAAATCTTTTTTTTTTTTTTTTTTACAGTACTGGAGATTGAACCCAGTATGCTATCACAGGCTCTCCCACTGAGCTATACCTCTAACCCAAAATATTTTTCTAAACTCGTACCAGTTTTTATTAAAAAAAAAAAAATGAGGCACAGGTTTGAGCCTCAAGATTGCAAAAAAAAAATCAGAAAATTCAAATAAGCAAATAAAACAGCAGAAAGAGTAATCAGAAGCTCATCACTCAGGTGAAGCTACTGGTCACACTTTGATCAATCCTTTTGCTTTGAGTGTTTTTGTGTCACCACATTCCTGGTTTTCTGCTGGTTGTCACCAGGGGCTATGTAGACTCTGGAAGTCTTGCTTTCTTATCTGCGAGTGTGCTTCTGTTGGGTTTTTTGGCAAACTGGTTCATTCCTGCAAATGTTCCCAGTTCATCTCGGTGCTACCAACCACAGCGCCATCTTGCTTATCCCTCCTTACTGTCATGCCAGGGCACTTTGAAACAATTAGTCCATAAACTAGAGACCCAATCCTTCATTTCACCTTGCATGCTTACACAGCCTAGTATTCCAAAACAGGGACCCTGATCACATCCTGTTTCACTGACTGGGAAGCGGAGGTCCAGAAAGGGTGACTCAGCAAGGCCATTCCACAAGGCAAGGTTACAGCTCAGCATGGTAGGCAAGATGTCCTCACAACAAGCCTGGGCTTGGTGGAAAGCACTCCACCCCTCCTGGGACAGCTCCTCAGCTGCCACATCTATATTTTCCTGGGACATTCTGGCTCATGAACATTCTCGTGACATTGCTTTTGCCCCACAAAGCCTTCAGCCCTCGTGTCCTCCCGCTCCCAATTCTCTTCTCAAAGCCACTGGACAGTCAGTTACCTCCAGAGAGCTGCAGCTCATCCTTCACCACGTCTAGCTCCCCACGGCCAGCACCTGGTGGAGACAAACCACTGTGTCAGCTCTCTCCAGACAGTGTTCTGGGCGACCTCCACCTCCCACAGGCTGAAGGTATAGCAGCCTGAGGGCTGGGGGGAAGCAGCTGGGTCTTCCAGGCAAGACAGCTCTACGGTGTTTTCCTTTTACACTGTCTGTTCAGCCAGCCTGCCAGAGGGGGCCATACTTAGTTTACCCAGAAAGCACTCTGGGCCTGCCGGGGTATAGCCTTTGCTCAAGGCTACTAATCGTTGTCATTTATTGAGTGCTTACAATGTGCCAATGGTGTAATAAGTAATTTACATTTGATGTTTTACTTGATCTCCATGGAAATCCTATGAAGAAGGTATTTGTAGGGATGCTAGCTACCCTTATGCAGACAAGGCACTGAGGCTCAGAAAGCTTAACTGGGGTTCAGGGTCCAGCTTGGTGATAGAGTGCCTGCCTGGCATGCATGAAATATTAGGTTTGGTTCCCAGCACTAGGGAGCAAAAGAAAATGTTTAGTTATTCTACCAAAGTCACATGGTCAGGAAGTGGTGACTGCACTTTATCAGTCTTCATACACCTGCATATCTAATCTGATCTTTTGGTACTGGGGACTGAGTCCAGGGTGTTCACACATAAGCACGCACTCTACCTGAGATACACCCCCAGTCCTCCTAATCCCAGGCCTCAATTCCAGCTTCACAGACAGCATTTGCTAAACACTTTGTGTGTACCAGGCTCTGTCTTGCACATGAATTCAGATTCTTCCCCTGCTCTTTTCTTCCCGCAATTTTTTTCTTTTTGGCAAAAATGATTTTCTTTTAGCTATAAAAACAAAACATGCTTATTGTAAATTACTTATAGTACAGGTCAGTTTTTTAAAAAAGGAGAAAATAAGCCAGGCACGGTGGTGCATGCCTGTAATCCTTGCACTTGGGAGGCTTGAGGCAGGAGGATATCGAGGCCAGCCTGGACTATGTACAGAGACCCTGTCTCAAAACACACACACACATATATACACGAGAGAGAGAGAGAGAGAGAGAGAGAGAGAGAGAGAGAGAGAGAGAAAACAAAAAACTCATGATTTCACCATCCAGAGACAACCACTATTAATACTTTCGTATTTTTCCTTCCTGTCTTTTTTTTTTTTTGGCACTGGGGCTTGCACTTAGGGCCTTCACCTTGAGCCACTCTGCCAGCGCTTTTTTATGATGGGTATTTTCGAGCTAGGGTCTTGCAAATTATTTGCCCAGACTGGCTTCGAACCTCAATCCTCCAGATCCGTGCCTGAATAGCTAGGTTTACAGGCATGAGCCACGAGCACCCAGCTCCTCCTGTCTCCTATAACTATGCTTGAATTTTTACAAAGTATGTAGGAAATCCAATTAGTTGTATGTTCTGTCATCAGTCCCCTTCCCTTCAGAGACAGGTGGAGCACAGAGCTCTGAGGACAGGTGTCGCACTGTTGCTGTGTTGGCTGTTGCTGACTTTAGGCTGTTTCCTGTTTGCATCCGGTGTACACAGGCAGGCTCAGGCAGCTGACGAGGCAACAGTGAGCCGTGGGCAGAGGAAAGTGATAAGCCTATTGCCTACCAGGTGGGGAGTCCCTGCGACGTTTCCCGGGAACTCTGGGATGCCCGTCCTCATCACTGCTCTCTGCAGGGAACAAACACAAGCTGTAGGACAGCCTTGTCGGGAAGGGGCCAGGAAGCTGTTCCCTCTGGTAGTCGTTCCAGCACTCTGTCTTTGGAGGAAGCCCTGCTTTGTGACCAGGGTTTGGGCTCTGCCTCTAATGTGATACCTCTGTGGGCTTCGTGTTGACTGCCTCACTGACTCCACGAGGCTTCATTAGACAAGGTTCCATAGGTGTCCGGGAGGGTGATGGTTTCCATCCCACCAAGCACAGGCTGCGTCACCTCTGTGTCCCCATGACTTTGTGTCAACTCTGGATGTCTCCTACTCCTACTCACCTGGAACATCCTTCCTACTTGTCCCCCTTATCATGAGGCTAAGCTGAAGTCACATCTGTAGAAAGTCTCTTCTGACCAAGGTCACACTGACCTTGCCTCCTCGCTCTGGGGTTTCTGTAGCACCAAATGCCTGCAGTGAACCTGAGGATTCCCAGGGCCTCAGAGTGCTCATCTCTCCCACCATTTGAGCTCCGAAGGTCATGGCCTGGTCTCCCACTGTCTTAAGGATGCCTGGCCTGGAGGAGGACTTGGTCAGGACTTACAGAATGGCTGGCTGTCTGCACTCTTGGGCTAGTCATCATTAAAGAATTTTGGCCTAGGAGTTTCTGGTTCTAGGGTCAAAGGACTTCCTTTCTCTCAGGACTACCAAGATGGCCAGCTGTGCGAGTCACTTGATCGGCTTGGGGACCTCCTGGTCAATCATGGGTACATTAAAAAATTCCAGGAAACCAAGTTAACTAAAATAAGTAGTCAAGTGCGTACATGATCTCAACTACACAGCTGTGAGGAAGCACAGCTCTCTCCCAGTACCCGTGAAGAATGGGTTCCAAGACTCCCTGCAGATATCCAAATCCATGGATGTTCAAGTTTCTTACAGAACATGGCATAGCACTAATCCCAGCTACTCAGGAGGCAGAAGCAGGAGGATCACGAGATCCTGGCCAGCCAGGACAAAGTTATTAAGACCTTGTCTCAAAAACAGACTAAGGGCATGGTTTAAGAGGTAGATTGCCTGTCTACCAAGCTCAAGAGCCCAAGGTAAAATCCCTGTACTGCCAAACAACAACAACAAACATACAAAAAAAAAGGTTGGGTGTGGTGGCTCCCACCTGTAATTGCAGATACTTTGGGACTGGAGCTCAGGAGGATCAGAGTTCAAAGCCAGTCTGGGCAAAATGTTGAACTTTGACTAAAGTGCCCCTTCTAACCCTAAATATTACTTTATGTGAGATGCAGACACTTCAGGTGCCATTCTGTAAACATTAAAAATAATTTTCTAATACCAGGCATGGTGGTATACTTCTATAATCCCAGCATTTGGGAGCCTGAGACAGAATTATTGTGAATTCAAAGCCAACCTGGGCTACTTAGTGAGATCCTGTCTCAAAAACAAAACAAAAAGATTTGCAAAGATATTATAGAATGTCATGGCAAAATGCTTCAGATAGCCAAAAGTTTTAAATGGGGGACAAAATTATCTATCCAATCAATTACAGCATAGCTGTGCACAAGTGCAGGCTTACACAGTGGGCTCTAGCAGGAAATGTGGAAAAGTAGCCTTGAAATAGCAGGTGCGAGAGGTTGTTCTTCCATACTGTGATAGAGATATACACCAATACATATATATGTATGTATGTATGTATATGTGTGCACGTGTGAGTGCTAGGGATGGAACCCAGGACCTCGTGCATGCTAGACAGGAGCTCCACCACCGAGCCACACCCCAGCCCTAAAAATCTTTGCTATACCTGAAGAGGAGGAGGAGGAAGATGACGAAGAGGAAGAGGAGGAGGAAGACGAAGAGGAGGACTTGTCTCTCTCATATTGCTCTGGGGAAAGGAGTCCTGCCTTCCCATCTGGCTTGTGGAAATCCGCTTCTCCATCTGGGTGGCACACAGGCAAGGTGATGAGTGCTGCCCACCCTTCTGGATCCCAGGAACCACCTGAGCCTATCTAGGGGTCTGCACGGACACTAGAGGCCAGAATTGTCTCCTAAGGCCAATGGAAGGTGCAGGAGGGTCTCAGAGACCCGAGGGGTTCTAGAAAGCCCCTGACAGAAACATCTCTGAATATGGATCCCAGAAAAGGGACTTCTAAGCCCCCTGCCCTGCCAGAGAACACTAGACTCCATAGAGTCAGTTTAGGGTTCTCTGTGGTCACAGGGAAGATGGGATCTGAGCAAGCTCCAAACCTTCCCATCCTCCACTAGGGTCACACAGGACCCTTCTCTCCTCCGGGGGCCCTCCCTAGTTCCAGCTCAAGCCCCTAGAAACTCCTTGAGATTTGGGGAGCAACTGAGGGTCCCCTCAGCTGGAAAGTACTGGGAGACAGATGGGCTAAGGACAGAGGTGTGTGGGTAAAATCCCTACTTCCCTATTTCAGCTGTGACATGACCCATTGTGCCATGTGTGCTGAGCGGGGTCTTCTGGCCCACCCATTGCCTTGCCCCGTGGGTCTGAGAAGGCAAACATACAGTCTACATCTTCTGATCCTCTGTGGACGCGACTGGTGTCTTGAGATGGGGAGGAGGGTCCTGAGGTCTCCATGGCTTTCCCTGGAGGAACACCAATAAGTAAATTCACTTTGGTTAATATCTTTAATATATAAAGGGCTTGGCAAATAATTAAGGACAAAGACCTAGCTATTCAAAGGTATAAGAAAAATAATTGACACACAAAAAAGAAATGTATGATTAGGGAAATTTGAATAATGGCCATCTCTTGATAACATTAGGGCCATTTTTGAGCCTGCTGTGATGGCATTTGCCTGTAGTCTCAGCTACTTGGGAAACTGAGACAAGAGGATTGCTTGAGCCCAGGAGTTTGGTGCCAGCCTGGGCAACACAGAGAAACTCTGAGGCAAAAAGAGAAACAAAAGAAAAAGCTTCTTTTATAGGTGTGATATTTATTTTATTTATTTATTTTTTTCATTTTTCTTTTAAGGTGTGATATTTATATTGGCATTATGGTTTGTTTGATTTTGTTCTTTTTTTTTTTTTTTTTTCATTACTGGGGTTTGAACTCAGGGCCTTGCACTTGCTAGGCAGGCACTCTACCACTTGGGCACTTCCCTAGCCCTTTCTACTTTGGTTATTTTTGTTTGTTGTTTGCTCTTTGTTTTTGTGTTTTGGTAGTAATGGGCTTTGAACTTTGACCTGGACCACAATCCTCCTGGTTAGACTTCCTGAGTAGCTGGGATGACAGGCACACAGTACCGTGCCCAGCTTTTACTGATGGAGATGAAGTCTCTCAAATTTTTTGCTTGTGCTGACCTCAAAACTCAATCATTCTGATCTTCACCTTCTGGGTAGCAAGGATTAGAGGCTTGAGCTACCTTTCCTGGCAGCATTATACTTTTTAGGGGTCAGGGTGTAGCTCAGTGGTAAAGTACTTGCCTCACATGGCGCAAAGCCCTGGGTTCCATTCCCAGCACCGTGTGCAAAATAAACTTTAAATTTAGAGAGAAATGCTAAAATATTCATGATAAAATTATGTGCTACCTGGGATTTGTCTCTAAATAATCTTGTTGGGGAATTTCAAGGAACCACAGGAAGTCCAGAAACGCCAGATGTGACTATGAATTGATAATTGTTGGAGTTATATCAAAATATAAATAGTTCTCTAGGGTGGTCTTTTGGGATTTTTATTATTTTATTATTTACGTTACATTTCCTAAATTTAAAAGGTTTTTTTCTTTTTGTTAAAATCCTTTTCTTTTTTTTTAACACTGAGGATTGAACTCAGGGCCCCCCATATGCTAAGCAAGCGCTCTACCACCCTTTTTGGTTTTTTAAATTTTGAGGCAAGGTCTTACTAATTTGCCACACCAGCCTCCAAATTGCTGTCATCTTGCCTCAGTCTCCTGAGTAGCTCAAATTACCGGTGGGCACCACCACATCTGGCAGTGTGGCTTTTGTTAAAATAAAACAACCAATACTTTCCATTATTTAAAAATGCAATATGCACCCTTCTATCAGCGTACGACCAACAGTTTTTCAAATGGCTTTTGTGTCCATAATTCCCTCTGAGCCCGATGACCAGCCAGTCAGGTGGGAACTGGGATCCATTATTCCTCACGCTTGAATTGCAGTTTCTGGACAACAACACATCTTCCCCAGAGACTGTCTCTTGTGACCTTCACAATAATCCTACAAGGTGAGTTTTACCATCCCCATCTACAGAGGGGGAAACTGAGGCTCAAAGAGATGGAATGACTTGCATGAGTCAGGACTAAAGTTCTATTTAATGCACCTTAAACATTGGTGCCAGGCACAAAACTGCTCACGAGCACTAGACTGGATTATTTATGGATGGATGGATGGATGGATGGATGGATGTAATTGGCGGAGGGGAGGCAGGGCTTAGGAAATATGTCCCTTCAGGACACCATACTCTGCTTTCCTGAACTTCTAAGAGGTCACTAGAGATAGGCCTTCAGGTGGCTGTGGCTTTGCAAATCCAAATGGGTAACCTCAGTGGGCAGGTCCTTGTCCCTGGGAAAAGTACATGTAGCCATCATGACAGGAGTGCTGCCTGATTGCAGCTGGGCACGTGACCCCCAGGTGGAGACTACATTTCCCAGAATCCCCTGTAGAGGCCAAGTGACTGCATCCTGCAGGGGACCAGGAGCACAGGGATGTGCTGAGAAACGCTTAGGCCTGGGGGAAAGCAGGAGTGTAACCGTTCTCGAGTAAAGCACACGTGCTGTCAATTTTACAGGTGCAGAAGAATGCATAGCTGTTTACAAATAATAAAGTGTTCATTACTGTGATTCAGATCCCTGGGACTGCAGAGCAAGCCGGTGTCTCATGCAGAAATCCACTCCTGGGTTTTAGAAACCCATGGCCAAAAAAAGTGTCACAGAATCAGACCACGAGTAAGTGCTACCAAACTCTGCAAAGCCGTTGCTCACGTCTGTGAGAAATGAGTGCTTCCAACATGAGTGTCGCTTCCTATCTTCCTCGACACCAAAGAGCAGGGGCAAAGTGAAACGAAGACATTTGCTGACATTTCACTGGTGTGTCAGTGATGGGGGTGACGTCTTTACTGAGTCAGGGATAATTTTCAAATCCTAGAAGAATGTGCCCTTACCTTTCTCATGCTGCTAGCAAGGTAATGGCTACAGTGCCACAGACAGCTCTAAGTTTAATCTGAGTACCAGCATTTTCTTAAATTTAGACAATCAATGAAACAGGCTTGATTTATAGAGTTTGGTGACTTCCCTAAAGATTCCCACTTGAGCAATTTCAAGGTATCCTGATGTCACCAAGCCCAGACTGAGACGTGCAGTGGTGTACAGCATTCTGCAGGATTTCCACCACCCGAGTAAAGTAGAAGTGAATAATCTAAAGCGAAAACTAAAAATTGGCCTCCTTATGACCCTGCCGTACCACTCTTTGCATATATTCTGAAGACTGTAAACTGACACCCAGTCGAGACACATGCACATCCATGTTTACAGCAGCACTGTTCACAATCTCCAAGCCATGGAATCCACCTAGGTGCCCTAAAACCAGAGTGGATAAAGAAAATGTGGTAGCTATACACAATGGAATATTACTCAGTCATAAAGAATGAAATTATGTCCTTTGCAGGAAAATGGATGGAACTGGAAATCACCATGTTGAGTGAGATAAGCCAAGTTCCAAAAGCCAAGTATCCAGTGTTTTCAGCCTGTTGCTAGGCCTGGGCTGGCTTGGACCACAATCCTCCTACTTGACGCCTCCTGCATAGTTGTGATGACAGGTACCCACAACCACACCCAGATTTTTCATTGAGATGGGGTCTCACTAACTTTTTTGCCTGGACTGGCCCTGAACCATGATCCTCCCTATCTCTACCTCCTGAGTATCTGCGACCCTAGGTGTGAGCCACTGTGCCCTTCCTTTGGCTCATAGTTTTGAAGGTTCCAATCCATGGTTAGCTGGCCCGGTTGCTTTGGGCCTGTGGCAAGGCAGCATACCAGGAGGAGGAGGATGCAGAACAAGACCATCACCCCCTGGCCAGCAGACAGGAGAGAGTGGGAGGCTGGGGTCCCACAATCCCCTCTGAGGGCACACACCCCAAGGACCTGAAGCCATCCCACAAGGCCCCATCTCTTAGGGAGTCCATCAGCTTCCAGTAGTGTCACCTGGGGACCCATCCTTCAAACACAACCATAGCACCACAGAAGCAGAAGCTCACAGTCACTGAGCCCGTGCTAAGGGAGGCTCTCTCCATCTGTGCTCTGTCAAGGCCCTGCCGTTCCCAGGTCACCTGAGAGGTGATCAGTTTGGAGAAGCAGGCTACCCTGCCCAAGGGACATGTTCTCATTGTCACACCAAATACCAGGCCCTGGCCTTCCCCACCATAGCACCATCATCAGTGTTTACTCAGTGCTCACTCCATCCTGGCATTGCTCCCACCATTCTTGCAGCACGATTACATCTCCATTTTACAGATGGGGAAACCAAGGCACAGCAAGACATTAAGTAACTTGCCCAAGCCTGGCAGAGCCAGGATCCCAACCTGAGACACAGGGGAGGATGTTGCCTGGCCAAAGTCTCCTGGTAGATTCTCCAGAACAGTGGTTCTCAATCAGGGGGTGGGGACGTCTTTCGCCCTCTGGGGGGCATTTGGCAATGTGTAGACACTTTGCTTTTTTGGTACTGGGGATCAAACCCAGGGCCTTGGGCATGACGGGCAAGTGCTCTGCCACTGAGCCTCCCCTGCCCCAGCCCCTGAGATACTTTTGATTATAAGGAATGGTAGAGGGGTGCTCTGGCATGGGGGGGCTGCTAAACATCTTACAGTACATGTGACCACAAAGATTACCCAGTGCTGAATGTCAGCAGTGTTGACACGAGAAACGCTAGAGCTGGCAGGAGGGGAAACAGGGTGGGCATCGAATGAAGTCTGCCCCCTTGGCTAAGCTGCTGGAAGTAGGAGACCTCACACAGGGGAGCGAGGGAGAAGGGAGCTTATGGTTGTGCACAAAGCAGGTCCAGGGGGGTGGGCTACTTTGTGTGTGGCTTTGGAGACCCAGACTCCCTTTGCTTTTTGGCTCAGCTGTGCCCAGGGTGCTGGTCTCTTTGGGTGAATGGAGTCATTCATTCCCGTCTGCACAAGAAGTAGCAAAAGAGCCAGGCTCCAGTGGCTCATACCTGTAATCCTAGCTACTCAGGAGGATTGAGGTTTGAAGTCAGCCCCAGGCAAATAGTTCATGAGACCCTATCTTGAAAAAACCCTTCACAAAAATAGGGCTAGTGGAGTGGCTCAAGGTGAATGCCCTGAGTTCAACCCTAGTACTGCAAAAAAAAAAAAAAAAAAAAAAAAAAGAAGAAGAAGAAGAGAAACAACAAAAGGTAGTAGAAGACATACGAAACTGATATACTCAGACCTGGAGCCAAGTTGTACCAGTTGTGAGAGCCGGCTGTGAAGTTTACAGGAAATCCTGGGAGCCAGTTGTTAAGTACAATCATTACAACTTGTATTTAACAATTTAACAGGTGCTTTGGTTTGTTTGCTGTTTTGTTGCAGTGCTGGGGATTGAACCCAGGGCCTTGCACATGCTAGG